CCACACTGGTCCCCACAACCTTGCAGAATGTCTTGTCACACCATAAAGCTTCTGTATGGCTTCTGGTACTCCTTCATGATTTAACACCTTGATGCTCACAAGGGTTTGCTGAGACGCAAAATCTATGACAAAGTTGCACTTTTGGCCATCCAGCTTTCCTGTCACGTAGACACTATGTGTGCTTGCCATTTTACACTTAGATATTGGGACTTTCAAAACTGGGGTTGGTAGGCGTCCATAAACACGAACCACTACTGGTTTCCTTAAGGTTGACTTATTGGTGGTGTTCTTCTTACACTGGCTAATCATATGTCCTTGCTCTCCACAGTTCCAACAACCTTTCTGGATACCAGCCTTTCCTGCTGTGGCACCTCCCCTGTGTTGAAGTTGCCAGCATTGAGCTCTCTTTGCTCAGGTTTATTATATTGCCAGCAAAGTCCCTCAAACTTCTCTGAAAGCTGACCTTTTCTGGCCTTGAATCCTGATGACTGTACCAACCTTGGTACCTCTGTGCTGGACTTAACATAGGATTCGAATTCAAGATCTCTGGCCATTGCATCCTGCATAGTAGAGAGGTGTGCTTGCTTCACTTGTATCTTCAGTTGTGGACTGTCCAAAGCATATATAAACTGATCCCTCAGCAACAAGTTGAGGAGATCGGGTGGTGCAGTTGGGTAGGCCTTGTGTGTCATACTTTCCAAGTCCTGTGCCAGCTCTTGCAGGCTCTCTCCTTCAGCACGGATTCTAGTCCTAAACCTAGCCCTGTAGACTTCGGACTGATTTTGGGTTCCATACCTGTGTTCTAGAGCAGCTACCAGTGCTCTATAGTTGTGCCTGTCATCTGCTGACAATTGTCCAAGTATTTCCAGTGGTTGTACCTTCAGGCTCGTTGCCAGATATACTGCTTTCTGCTCCTCTGTCCACCCATTCATTTCTGCCAGGAGTTCAAACTGTGCTCTATATGCATTCCAGGGTGTCTTCCCATCGAATTCTTGTGGCTTCCTTCGTACCAGTTCACCCCTATTGCTGACACTCGTGTCTGGAATGTGACTTCTAGCAGGACTGAGGATGTCTGCATTAGGGTTTAGCTGCGGGGTCTGGAAGGAACTTCCCATTGTCTGAGGCTGATTAGGTCGATGGCTGATATATCCTCCTTGTGTAAAAGACAGTAAATCATTCTTTAATGTATTTAATTCGCTTTGAAATTGATTAATGTTTTCCATTTGTGTACTCCGGCTTTCTCTCAACTGTTGGAGACTTTCTTCTTGTTTATTTCCTTTCTCCTTCAACCACTGCTGTAGTCTCTCTTCTTGTTCATTTTCTTTCTCCTCTAACTACTGCTGTAGTCTCTCTTCTTGTTTGTTTTCTCGTTCTTCTTGTTTCTTTTCTTTTTCCTCCAACCACTGCTTTAATGTCTCTTGTTTATTTTGCTGTTCGAGCTGTCACTGTTGCAGTTTTCTTGCCACTGCTTTTGTCTCATTTCTTGTTTCTTTGTTGTTCTTGTATTGCTACCATCAAATCTGATAAGCTGTAGTTTGATTTGCTACTTCTTGTTTCCATCTTCTTCTCTATATGCTTCCCATGGTGCCTTCCCATCGAAATCCTGTGGCTTCCTATGTGCTAGATCACCCCTATTGCTTACACTTATGTCTGGAATATGACTTCTGGCAGAACTGAAGATGTCTGCATTAGGGTTTAGTTGTGGGGTGTGAAAGGGGCTTTCTGTTGACTGGGGCTGATTAGGTCTATGGTTGATATATTCTCCCTGTGTAAAAGAC